CGCCGGCCGGGGAGAGCGGCGCCGGCCGGCCACGCCGAGGGGAGGTCGGCGCGGCAGGAGCACGGGCAGGTCCGCAGTCCCCAGTGACGGAGCGGGTGGCGGGCACAACACCTCGGCACAGACTAAACAGCACCGTGTGAGTCCGCACACAGCTCTGATCCGTCACGACCCGAGGTGACACGCCGCAGATCATTTGTCCAGATCCGCCGGACGTTCCGAAATATCCACAAACGGAACGGGACACAGCGTGAAGCAGGTTGACCTTGAACGGCTATTAGCATCCTGCTGAATAAATAGCTGTTAACAGCTTAGCTTAGTAGGTTACCCGGCAATACAGTAGCCAGTAGCCACTAAGCCTGGCGGAAAAGGGGAACACTTATTTGCCCATGTGTAAACTTTTTTCCGCCGTGTAAACATCCTACACGAACATGATCTCCACCCGAAGCTCGAGATGTGACCAGCCCAGTTCAATGTCATTTTGTCACACATTTCCCCCTCGTTTTCCGCGTTCGGTCTCCCCGCTCCGGTGGAGCGCGTAGCCGGCGGCCACGTGGCGATTTTCCCGTGGTAGCGGGGCGGCGGGGCCGTACCCGGAGCCGGCTCGGCCCGCACCCTCCCTGCCACCATTCCATCCCGTCCGTCCGTCCGCCCGTCCGTCCCGACCTGCTGTTTGTGGCAGCGGGGCGGCGCGGCACGCGGCCGGAGCGGGGGAGGCCGCCGCCGCGCCGTCCGGCTCCCAGCGCGGCCATACCGGCGCGGCACTGGCCCGCGGCCCGACCGGCACCGGCAGAGGCGGGGAGGGAGGGGTAATTACGGCAGCTCCGACCGGCACGCAGCCGCGCCGAGCCGACCAACAACCGGCGGCAGCCGCCCGGCCGCGCGAGGAGGGAGAGATCGCCGCGCGCGCCCGTGCCCTAGACCCAGTGCGCCAGGAGAGCGGGAGGGCCGGCGGGGCACAATGGCAGCCGCGCGGAGCACCGACCGGCAGACAGACGGAGCGACTGAATATCGCGGGTCAGAGCCGCACACACCGGACAACTTGTCCTGGATATAACACAAACCCTATAACTTCAGAGCCATGAAGGTCAATGAACTCGGCGCTACCAGACGAAGCTCGTGTGCAATCTACTCAAACTATTCAGGAAGAACAAATTTGGTGACAAACTTCGCCATACTTTTCAAACATAAGAAAGCAAATTCTGTCATTTCACAACTTAGCCGTCCTTCGGGATTGCGAGCATCACGACCGTGTCACTCATGACAATCAACTTCTACTTAGCCCAAGAACAAAGCCAAAACTCGCCGGGCGAGGACAGAGGACGCTACTGCTGACGCCCACGCGACGCGTGCGTCCGACGGTTCTCTGAGAGGTAGTGACAATCTCCGGCTCGGTAAACCTCTGAGCTATGCCTGGCAAAGCCGGGCGACCGGCTGCGGTCCGGTGGCGGCGATTTTTTGTTCGTGACCGGTGTCCTTGTCTCGCTGGCAGCGTGCCGCCGAGCAGTGCGTTCCAGCAGCGGGGCCGGGACGCATGCCGGCCATACACAAAGGACTGATCAGAGCGGCACTGTGCGATTTGGACGGACTGAAGCGAATGGAACGCGGCTGGAGCGGGCGGCGACCGGCCGTGAACGGAGCGGACCACCGGGAATCGGAGCGATCCCAGGGAGAGAGAGGGGGTTTGTTTCTGGGGCAGGCCGTAGGCAGTCGGAGGAGGGTGAAAGGCCGGTCTGAGGGGCACGAGGGACCCCGAGCCGGGAGGGCCGCGGCGGTCCGGACCGGGCCGTCTGCGGAGCTCCGGCACGGCGCACAAAAACTGGTCAGCTGCAGCACGCGGCAGCGCGGCGGCGGCCGGAGCCGGCGGCCCGCCAGCTCCGTGGGAGCGCGGTGCCGCGCCGCGCCGGCCGGCGGACCCGCCGGTCAGCGCAGAGCGCGCACAAAGAAGGCGGCAGGCCAGCAAGTAAGGCCGCCCAGCAACGCCTAACCGTAGCCACAGACACCAGACCAACCGGGGAACTGGGAAACCACCGCACCGGCCACACCAAGGACACGGGGCATGACAGTGCCAGAAACACGGCTACCGTAAAACACAGCGAAATTGCCGCCAGACCGCCGGTCCCAGCGCCGGCGGCCCGGAATTTCTGCCCAATGGGCACCCCTGCGTGTTTGGCCGCCACTGAGAGGGTCGGGAGGCCGGGCACAGACAGACACACAAGTGCGGACGAGCGGACGAACTCGGGAGACGCGCTCGCCACTACGGCCGCTAATCGATAATTGACGGACGCCGGCAGCCGCCCCCGCACAGCGCCGACGGCCGCCTAAAGGCCGAGGTACAGAGAATACGGCACTCACTCACTCAAAGGAGAGCAAAAGGTTGGCAGGAGAAAAGTGACGATGTGTCTCGAAAAGTGTCAAAACAGAAAGAAGAGTACAGTATCCAAAGAAATCGCCGTCAATATCATCAGCAATGGAAGCTCGAAACTGGACAATCGCTTCTACCACTGAACTTGGCCACTAAAAATAAAATATAGAGAACAATGCAATCTAAAGACATTATTTGAGACATGTCTCGAAACTACGGACTGTCCCACAGACCCACTCCAAGAGGCAAATGGCAATGTTCTCAAACTGAGATTTCAAAGTTCGGTGCCCGTTATCATAAATACTTCTCCACCGAAGAGCGTTCTGGATACCCCGGCGGTGGCACCGGTCCGATCCGAGCGGTGTGAAACTGGCCCTGAACGACAGGGCCACCGCGTCGCCAGGCCGCGGCAGGAGGCGCCGGCCGGCCGATTTCCCAGCTGCGCCGCGGGGCCAGCCAACGTCCGGACAAGGCCAGCGCGAGCAGCCGCCGACGGGAAGCCCATGACCGTGACGAGTCGTGTCAGCGGCCCGGGCCGGCTGATCCACGGCTCCAGATTACGGGCCGCGACAGAGCCATCAGAGGATCAGAGCGGGCTCAGCTCGGATGGTCCGCGGGCCCACAAACCGGTGCGCGGAGGCCGCTTACAGCGGTGAATGTCCAGCTTCCACGCCTCGCTCACACGGACCTAGTCACTCCTCAAGACTGACCAAACACGGTCACATCAGTATGTATACCGTGTATGATACCAGATACACGGTTAACAGCTTTTGAGCGATGTATCATGATTGCCCAGTGCCCAGTGTCCACGACGTGTCCCAAGTTGAATTATCCGCTACTCCTGACACGGCTCTGCTCCGTCCGTCCGCGCTGTGTGCCGGCCGGCTGCCCTGCGGCGGCCGTCGGCGGCGCGGCCGGTTCCGGTCCGGTCACGGCTGCGGGCCACAGGAAGCAGCGTCCACTCACCCCGGCCGTCAGCACACCATCGGAAGCAGCCTCCGGCGCGCGGCGACTGCAGGCGCCGGGTACGGCGAACGGCGCTCACCGCCGCCCAGCGGGCCGAGCACGGACCGGCGCCGAGCGGTACGAGCCGGCCGGCCAGCCGAGCTTCCCACTCACACACCACACCGGGAGAATGACTAGGAAAATAATCTGCAAGTGCAATTAACAGTTGTTTTGTTGTATGCTGACTCTCTTTGAACTTCACATTAACCAGTGATGAAACTATGTTTTGAAGAGTTTTGTAACATGTACTCAGCAAAGCCATCCCCAAAAGATGTCAATATCACTTGTCCACTTCAGTCTTTGAACTTGTAGCAAAGACTGAGGTCTAAGCTTGATAGCCTAAATCATCTAGCTTATCTTGTATTTACAAGTACACATGCCAAACTTAAGTACCAGTACTGGTGTTACGCTGTAGTCAGTAAATTATCTTAAAATGAAACTGATTATCAATCTAATACAATAAACCCTGGGTTAAAATAATGTCACATGGTACACTGGGGAAAAAGGGCATAATGTGAACATGGGAAATGGGTATTTTAACAGCCTTAGCACATCCCTCATATTCTAAAACAAGCCAATGCAAAACAAAACAATTGAACAATTAGTAATTAAGGCTCCAAAATTCCAAACTACAAAAAACACACACTCTCTCCAAGCTCAATATGCACCTACCCAGATACACATTTGAAGGGTTATCATCTTTCTGTGCCGTCCGTATAGCATTCAATGTTCAATGATTTGTAAAACCAGGTCAGAAACCCGCAGAGACATAGGTACAGCTTGCATTCAGCTTTGTTCAAAACCTATACATAAGATCAAACACAAATACATGGCAATGAATAGCATAAGAATGAGATCAGAATCAAAATCCTTCATCAACATGAATAAGACAAAAAGAACTTAAATTACCCACCTTTCCTGCTGCTCTGCCAAGTCTGACTATCCCAAGCTTCAGTCCTGCGCCAGTATTCTCGGCTGTGTGCAGGTGTGATAGATCTGGGATGTACTTCATGATGCACTGAGTCGAAGGGGAGCCGGATACTAAAAAGTATGATATGCGTAGTGCAGCAAGGCGACTCAGACTGAGGCTGCTAAAAGTCCACCTTGACCTACGCCCTCAGGAATAAGGTCTTTCAATCAATTATTATTAAAGAAAGTCCTTGCACGCTTCCAAAGTCCAGGAAGAACAGAAGGCTAAGCAAAATAACAAAGAAAATGCTACAGAAACACAACAGGAGAGGGCCAGATGCACGCCCTGCTCCTACGACCTCCGACAACGAACTGCAATAAATAATTTTGCCAAGGGTACTCCAATTTCGGTAATGGTATCTTATCTTCGTTAAAAACCTATTGGTACGTCACAAGTCTCAGCTTGACTTATTACGATTTCCTGTCTTTAAAAATGCACAATTCTCACAGATCAGGATCGATATAAGGTTCCATTGAAGAAAAAAAACAAGCAAAAAGCGATACTGTAACTTTTTAACCATTTTTTACGTTTGAAATGATTCAAAAAATAATTTTTGATGACGTCATATTCTACTTAAGAAAAATCATACAATGATAGCGCACTTGATTCATTTATTGCGCATGGCCTTTGATCCGCCGCGTCGCGCGCGCGCCCGTTCGGTTGGTTCGGATTGAGTCGGACACCAAGAGTCGGACGAATCGGACGAAGGGTAGGGTAGGTATATCCGGATATTTTGGTAGGATTTTTTATTTTGATTCCAAGTCTGGAGCCCAAAATCACGGTGGGACTTTGTTGTTTGTTTTATAAGTTTTTTTTCATTAAATCCAGCCTATAAAGCTTCATCACTCTAATTCAAATTAGGATGAGAAGGGCTTTTCATTTTATGATAATTGATAAGGCTCGTACCAGCAAAAACAGGGGCCGTATTCACGTCGACTTCGTAAGTCGATTTTCTTTCGTAAGTATAATTTGGTATTCACGTCGACACTTCGTAAGTTTTTATCGACGGAGTTCACGTGATTAAAAAAATTTACTTAAGAAGTAGGTCAAACTTAAGAAAATTCTTACGATAATGATCGACGTGAATACGGCCCCAGGTACCCAGGTAGTTACCTGCTTAGGCTGTTCGAGACATGAATCAGAATCAAACATTGAAATTTGATGTTTTTTTAATTTGATGCTTGAGCCCAGATTGGAAAACATCCATACCCTATGCCGGACGCCTGTGAGACCCTCTTGCGCTGAAATTTGGCGCAAGTGCTTTTGCACTGAAATTTCTGCATGTGTGCCAAAAATTGGATGCCTTTTTGTGCTGAAATCAAGCCACTTTTATATAAAGCACATGTTTGCATCTACTGAGCAAGGCTATATCAACCAGAGTGTTCCTGGAGCCTTGGATGCTCTCCCATGTTTGAGAGTCGAAACTCGAAACAAGTTTTTATTTCTACGGAAAACCAATATCTCAATATTGTTACGCTAGAGCGCTGTAGCGGTGTGCCATAAAACAAGACCGGAGCCGAAAGTTCCGCGGCCACAAAAATCTACGCTAAAATCGGTGGAGCGGTGTGTTCGAGACTGGCGGGAGCCAGCGATGGCCGGGCAGCGGAGCAGCACGTACTCCGGCACATCAGCCTCTTTTGGCTAAATTGGCACACGGCGCAAAGCACCGCGAGGCGCGAGGCACCGCTTGTCTGGGCAATGCTGGCACGCCGCGGAGTGGAGACAGCCGATTCGGTGCACATACTGGAGCGAGCGGCCCCAGAGGTCCGCCCTCATCTGATGCTTTGAAACGGCGTCCTCTCGGCCCTCTCCGGGGATATGGAGCAGTGGCGTGCTCCCGAGGAGTGGCTTGAATAATGACTAACCAGTTGTCGCGCCATTGATGCGAGGCCGCATAATTAATGGCCATGGTCAGCAAGCGGGCGTTTGAGGGCAGGGCGGCCGCTTGTTTTGCCAGGTCGTCCGCGCCCTCTTTCCCCTCGATACCGCAGTGGGCAGGAATCCACTGCAGTATTATTTCATGACGCTCGGCGATGTTCAACAAGGTCTTCCATACCTGTTTCCACGCCGAGGCCGAGGGTTGAGGCCTCACCTGGCGGCCGCTCCTCCGATGAGTAGACTCATGGGCCATGGCGGCTCGTCAGTTCGAGCACGCGACGATCGGGTCGGGGGGGGGGGGACGTCTCATCCCAAAACCCAAGGGGAATCTGCCGCTAGATTGACTAGTGTGCCGACTATTCGGTGACCGTCTTTCGCGAAAAAAAATTATGTGGCCGCCCTGCGCCGAAAAATTCAGCCGCCGCCATGCGCTGAATTTGGCGCACGTGAAGTTACACCAGCGCAATCGGGGCAATCCCGCCAGTACGCCGGACATATTCGGCATAACATGTATTTTTCCAGGCTGGGCTGGAGCTGTTCTGTACCTAGGAATAGAAATAGCTATCCTTTGCAACATTATCATCATATATTAACCCAAATCAAAATAAAACGATGAATGTTTGAAGGTGTTCTCTTTCCTGTTTTCAGACCTCAACTATGTCACCACTGTGTTACCTAGTTGAGGATGAGAGTATCAGTGAAGCTGCTGTGGAACACATTCTGTCAACGGAGGCAGGAGAATTGCAGCACAGTGGAGAGCAGCCCCTGCTCCAGTTCAGGTTCTCCACATGTCCCACCAGCAGTTTTCCGACGGTCATGGAGAGAGCTCTGCAGGTGGGTACTGGATAATTTTGCTGTGGCCCAGTTTATCACACTGATGCTGACACATCAGCACTTATACCTGAAGCATCATACAGCTGAGATTTAGAATGAGCTCCAGGAAGGAATCCTGGCTGTCTTCATTTTGACATGGCATTGACATGGCAAGTACTGGCAGACATCAAAATAACATTGCAAAGCCATTGGGTGGCATTTAAAAGCATACTTTTTACGGGGTTTCTCGTATGGTTTTGTGAATAGGCATCTAGTTTTCAGAATGGTGATGTTGATTGTAATCCTGCAATTTCTGCCATCTGATGCAACCTCTTTTTACAGATTTGCCGTCAGCACGGATCGTTTGCTAAGTGGAATGTGCTCCATATTAGTGAGGCAGACTCGCTCAGGACAATACAGCTCTGCATCGGCGAACGGATGAAGCAGGTCGGTCTCCAACGTCCCGTGCGCACCTACAGCTACCACATATATAAAAAAGCGTCTTTTGGGTGCAGTGAGATTCTTCAGAATGTGGCAAACGTTTCATAAATGTTGAGCATATTGCGATTCTCTGGCACCCCCAGCTGCATGAGTGTCTGAGTGTAAGTTTAAGGTCACCTTGTGTTGACAGTTTCTTGAGTTAATCGTAGAGTGACCTCGTCGGGCACGGCATTGTCCATTTTTGCGACATGTGTCGTCGTATGAGCTGTGGATCCTCACCATTACCACCCCGTTCTCCTCTCAGGAGTGCGGCGAGTTCTGCGCCCAGGCCAGCGACGTGCTGGCCGTCCACCAGCGGCTCAACAACAACGCCATCTACGACGGCTCCGACTCGGCCGAGCCCTCCGGCGGCGACCCCGACTCGGCCGAGCCCTCCGGCGGCGACCCCGACTCGGCCGCCTACGCGCGCTACCTGGCCGCCAGTCACCTGGTGGACGGACCGGCGGTGGTGCGCGCGTTGCGCCGACTCCGCGCCGCGGCGGACGGTGTGCCCGACTGGCAGCGGCCGGCGGTGGTGCTCGGCCGTCCGCCCAGCCTGCTGGAGCGCGCCCTGGCCGCCCTGCTGACTGGTGAGGAGCCGGTGGCCGTCCGGCCGGTGACGGGAGGGGAGGAATCGACAGCCGGGCCGGAGGAGGAGGGTGGAGAGAGCCGAGAGCCGGCGGAGGGGGAGCCGAGCGCAGCCGGGCGGACTGGGCAGCTGGAGCTGGTGCGGACCGTGTGGCACTGTGTGGACGTGCAGCCGGCGCGGCAGGAGCAGGAGCCGGCCTCGGCTACCGACGGCCACGTCAGGAACATGATCGGTGAGTACCGACAGCCACTGAGCTAGTGCGGCTCGCTCACTGTTTGCTGGCTATTCGGCTTAACATGTTTAATTGATTATTAGAAACCAGTAAAACGCCTTTTGGGGGCGACAAATGTGCGAGCGAGAGTCTCGTATTGCGAGGGATTCTTTAAACTGACTTGTGCACGGCACCCTACCCAACCGGTCTCTATCGGTATGCCAAATTTTTGTGCAATCGGCCCAGCCGTTCTCGAGATCTGATAGCTGCACCCTGCACGTGCGGACGTGCAAACTGAATCCCAACTGACTTTTGCACGGCACCTTACTAATCGGTCCCTAACCGTGTACCAAATTTAGGCGCAATCGGTTCAGCCGTTCTCGAGATCTGGAAGCGACCCCTGCACGTGCGCGCGTGCAGCAGCACCCCAACCGTGACACATGGGAATGTATTACCTGGTGGATGCCTACCTACTTGCCAAGTTACAGCGCAATCGGCCCAGTAATTACCGATATATTGCAGTTGCTACAAAACTGATACCTTGTAATGAAGTTTAAAATGAGCCCGACCCTTTCGCTTCCTTGTTCGATCTGCTTGTCACAGAGCTCCCTACTTCGTTTCCTTAAATGGTCCTATAATTTCCATTAGCCTGTGGGATATGACGTATATGTATGCTTGACGTACTGTGTGCCTAAGCCGCCGATGACCACTGTAGTCCGGGCGCCCAAAAACCCCCTGTGTGTCTAAGCGCCGTCCGAGCCGGAGCGGGTGCAGTCCCCGGCAATGCAGTCACGTTTCCACCGAAAATCCATCGATTCCGCAGCTCTGGTTTGGACAATGTACCGTGAAGTGGTCAACAGCGTTTTTTTTTTTTTTTACAACGCAAACACTAGACTATCAAACGAACTATATTACACACCTTTTCATTTTCCACGTGGCACGTGCATAAGGGGCCACCCACATGCATGGGAAATAGTCCAACACATGGTCGAAGGAATGAAGCTACCCTAAAAAAAAAAAAAAACATTACCGCAAGTAAACCGGTCTAGTGGTTGCGGAGACATAGGTTTCGCAAAAGCGTCCGCACGGCTGGCCGGCCGGCCGCTCATGCTCAGGAATTTCTGCTACTCTGCGTAAGACTTCGCTTGCTCGTAATCAACCGTCGTCTGAAACAACACTTATTTCTTGACAATAAGTAACAGGCCAGCCTCTGTCTTTCTTACACTCTCTCTTTCACCTCTACTGGCCCCTTCATTCTTTCATTCACCATTATTCAAACTCACTTAAACTTATAGTCTTCTTCTCTCAGAGTCTTCAGTCAATTTCCTAATATCAAGCTTTCCTTCACGATCTGCCCCCTCTCCCTCCCTTCGCTCCGCTCCGCCCCCTACCGGCCGCCGTGCGCAGCCATCGTCTCCTGTATCCAGTCGATGTACGAGTCCACGCGGGTGTACACCCCCGGCAGCAGCGGGCTGCCGCAGCCGATGGCGAACGAGACCACGCCCACAGCAGTGAGACGCACCACCCCCTGCGGCAGCTTCTCGTAGCTCATCAGCGGTCCGCCGCTGTCACCCTGAAACCAGCGAACGGGGGCGGTCAGGGGCGAGGTGTTGCGTCTACCAGCAGTGCAAGACACTCGTAGTGATGAACGGAGGAAAGGATATCCACAAGCGCCAAACAGTGTGAATAAATCCACAGTAATTTATCACTTTGACCCCAAATTGCCATGTTCCCCTAAGGTGTTGCATCAATCTTTCACAAATAACATTATGATGGCAGTGCATCTGTAGTTAAATGGCGTGGATTACGGTACCATAAGCCACCCGCAGCTAATCCATCTCCCCAACCGGCCGGTATTCGCACCTTGCATGTATCGACGCCTCCCTGGCAGTCTAGGCTGTCGTCTCCGGGCTGGCAGCCGGACAGCACGTGTCCCCTGGCGGTCACATTGCCCGTGGCACACAGGTGCTGCTCCGGGTCCACGTGGTGGTTGCGCGACCTCAGGTAGTTGCTCTGACACGTGCGGACGTCGGTGATGTTCAGCTCCGCGTAGTGCATCACGTTGGTGCCGTCCCTTCCACCTGTGGAGAGATGTGCGCAACTGGTAGCGGCAAACAGACAATTCTGGCGCACAAACGACGAGCTATTCCTCAGTCGGTATAAGTGAATAATGCCTTTTTGGTTTAATGATTGGTAAGTGAACATTTTTTTATGAATTAGTACCTATTAGTGCGCGGGCTTATAGTTCTGGATGCATCTAACACTAACAAGTTGAACGTTTATGTGCATTGCGCAGGCGGAAGGTGGTTATGTCTATTTACGCCTCATACAAACGCGAGGCCTACAGCGATTTTTATGCATGCTTTCCTTTATTTGCTATGACAAATTGGTTCAGGGTGAAGCTCAGGTATGTTGAAATCATTTGTAATCCTTGCTGAGCAGTGAGCTCGATACCGTCCTATAAACCCACCATGTTCGGTCAGGCCCCATCCGGCGATCACCGTCTTTCCCGATGGCTGAACCTCCGACTTCTTGGTGGGCAAACAGATGGGCCGGACAATATCTGTAACGGAGTAGTCAGACGTGAAAAAGGAGCAGTCGGTCTGAAATTTTATGTAGATGCAAGGCTGGAAATTAAAGAAACCCCATGACTCAAATGTTTTGACCAAGTGATTGACCGATGGATTAATTTGATGATCGGTGATTTAATATCGACTAGTAAATACCTAAAAGTAGTCATTGGTGTTATATGCGCTATTTCTGACCAAATCCATCCCTGTTTAGGGAAATGCATTGCTTATTATCAAGTACAAATTGTAATCAAGCTCAAGTCACGCTGTGTCTGCAGAATTGAAAATGTTTCACTATTATTGATGACTGATGTCTTCGTACCTTTTCCATTTTTCTTAAGCACCAAACACCTAATGCAGCAATGAACCATGAAAGACGAAAGGGCGTCACAAAAGCCCGCCGCTCACCGGAGTACTCGATGTCGCTCCTGAGCTTGACGAGCGCCACGTCGTTGTTGAGGCCGCGGAAGGTGCGGCGGTAGCCCGGGTGCCGGATCAGCCGCTCCACCTCTATGTCCTGAGGCGGGTGCGCCACGTCGTCGTCGGTGGTCGTGTACAAGTTGAGGTCGCCGATACGAGCCCCCACCCTGAAACGGTGACACCAGACGCCGTTTAGACAGAGACGGTGACGAGGTTTGGAGGTCGTGTGTCCGGGGATAATATTTGAACAAAAAGGGGAATGATGGTGGATGTGCGAAAAAGGAACTGCGTAGAGGAGCAAAGAGGAGGCATGCTGGAGCCTGGAGAGAAGGAGAGGAGAGGAGTTGTGAAAGGAGCATGCCATTTGATGAGGATGCGGCAGGCAAGTTTAGGAAGACAGCTGATAATGGACTGCATAAACTGAACTAATAAAACGTTCCCCTTCCCACCCAGCCTACTGTTCCAAGCCCAGCCTACCCCTCCCCAACTCACCCCCAACTCACCCCCCCCCCCGAACTCACGGTCCTCCGGGGATGTTGACACAGTGTGCCGCGGTGAGCAGCCACCTCCTGCCGATCACTGCCGCGCCGCACTGGAACATCTTGCGCAGGTCGTACCTCAGGGCCACCATCCAGGGGAACGTGCCGACCGCCTGCACCGGCTCCCCGCCCACCACGCGCGGCGGCTGGTACTTGGTCGTGATGCCGCATGTGTCCGCAGTGGGGGACGGCGCGGCAGTGGGAGGGGGAGGGGCCACCCCGTCCGGACAGCACTGGGGGTGAACGGGAGGGGGGGTCAGACGCGGGGAGAGGGACGTGAGAGTCCAGAGAGACATAAAATTCATAGATGTTGGTAATGTCGCCTTTCACTAATTAGTGTCTCGTTTCATAAAAAATTTACTCTTCGTCAATTTCACCATATTTGGTATAAATATGAACGCATAAATTCCATCTTAACTCATTGTTTGGAACATGCATAAAAGACTGCGTTACCACAACATGCCACAAGTGAGCAGTCCACACATCCCTATCGAAAACGTTGGCAGATCTCTTACCAGCAAGGTCTGTGACCTGGCCTTGCCGCACACCAGCTGCTTTAGGAGCTGGATGTTGCCGCTCCTGAGATGGCCCATCAGCGAGGGACAATCCTGGATCCTTTTGCAGAGGCCCGGCGCTCCAGCCGGCATGGAGCAGTGTGCTCCCAGGGCAGAGTGCGGCGGGCCTAGTCCTCGGGGCGGCTGCCGAGGCGTCTGAGGTCCGCCGAAAACGACTGCCAGAGACCGGGCAAAATTCAGATAGAGAGGGAGCATAATTGTTTCGTACTTCATTAAAATTGAATCGCTATTTAGATAACATGAGCAGACAAAAGCCGAAATGATTATATTCGTTCTTACATGCACGCGAAAGTCAAACTGATGTTTACGGTTTTTGCTGCAAGCGTATCTCATTACTCAAATCATTAAGCATCGATAAATAGGTAAATTGAGACTGTTTAGAAATAGCGCCCAGTCGAGCAGAGGCACTCACTGTTGGCTCGTGTGTCGGCTGCAGCACACAGTAGCACGGCGAGACACGCCACCAGCCTCCGTGCAGTCGTCATCCCGTCCCTGTACCGTCTCACGTCTGTCGCCCTGTAATAGCACTATCAGACTGCCTTCCGCTGCTCGCTGGAGCGACTGTGTGAGGTGGCCGCCGCCCCGGCCGACGTATATAGCCGCCCCCGCCCCCGCCCCCGCCCAGCCGTGACGCTCTGCTAGCGAGCGGTGGGTGATTCACGTCACAGACAGAGAGGCTCGGATACACGCCCCACGTAACCGAGTGCGTCCACACTCCACAGTGCACGGGTACGCAGGTAGACATCAGGGAAAATAGCCGATACACGGACAACGATACCCATCGCGCGCCGTGGCGCAAGACGTTTTTACTCCCCTTATTTTCCGATATACCTATGTATCTCAAGTTTTTTATTCGCCTTATGATCCACCTGTTTCGCATATGTTGATAAAATTTGCCTATTGCCTATTCAAAGTTCAATGCCTATTGAATACTGAAACGTAGTATTGTATTCGTAATTGCATATACTCCTGCAAGCAGCCTGTCCTGGTAGCCTGCAAACGGACTTTTTGTGATCAACCTCGCCAGCTGGACTGGATACTGAAGTCAACAATGTTGAAGCGTGTGGTTTTGATTGACCTGACCTTGATCTGACCTTTGACCAAGATTCCGAAAAGTTTTGAGCTATCAAGATTTGTTTTGTTGAGAGCATTCGATTACCGTTTTCTCCGTCTCTTTACGATCATCGTTCGGAGGTAAAACCGCCTGCCCTCTCACAACGGCGTGTTCTGCTGAATACCCCGGAGGGGGCGGGTCGAGCTATGGAAGTCCACCGGACGTATAGGCGCACATGACACAAATTCTTGCCATCCATTTTCTCATGTAACTGAACCATAACGAATCGTGGAATTAGTAGTTATCACCAGGACACCCCAGGCCGTGTCGTCCCCACGAAACACATTCCGTGAATTCACCCATCATCTCCCTTCCTGTTCCTTTTCAGACCGCCGCGGTACCTAGAAACTGACCCCTTCACTGCGCTGCAGAGCCCGGCCTGTCCAGACGGACAAACTGCGCAGACAGATTTCGCGCTACCGGTACCGGCGCCGTCTATACATACACAGTACACAGACACACATACATACGTACCGCCGGAGCAGCAATAGCCGGCGGATGTGATATCAGCGCCGTGACGTCACACTTCCCCCACGGGGGGGGGGGGGGGGTTCGCCGGCGGCACCGAACTCAAAGGGGATGAATGACGTGTGTACGTGGTGCAGGGAGAGTAGGGCAAAGTGGACATCCTGACACTTCACCCTAACACTTCGGTGCTGACTCTTCATTTTTTAACTTGGAAAGATTCCTTCAATGCCAATATGATCTCTGTTAAATTGTCTTTCATTTAACCCGCGCCCAGATGGGGTCTGCCGAGCAACGCGGTCTGATGGGGGGGGGGGCATTTTGCCCCCCCCCCTCAGATCTCGAGAACCACGCAACATAGCGACAAGCGGTAAACGGTGTTGGATAGCCCCAGCGGGGAACTACCTTGTGACCCAATTTCATTGACCTCGGTCAAACCGATGACGTCACAGGTCAGGTCAAAGGTCGAATTTTCACCGTTTACAGGCATTTCAAGAAATGCGTTGTAAAATCGAGTAAAATGCATTTCATTGAAAATCATCGATGGAGAAATGTTCTTCAAACACATATTTTGCTATTTGAGGTCACTGATACCAGGTCAGGTCACAGAGGTCAGGTCACTGGGGGGTCACAATATGAAAGTGTCGTGTGATACATGTTTTATGGTCCATTTTACATGACAAATGCGATTATGTGGGTCAGACAGACTTTAGGGCCAGCTTAGGTCACGTTTTGGTCAAGGTCAGGTCAAGCTCAGGTCAAATTAGGTCAAATTTCAAAGTTGATATTTTTGCATAAAATGGGTATCGATTCGATGCAGCTCGTCACGGGGAGTTCAATGGTGGTCTCCGTTTTGCGCTACGAGGTCTAGAACTGCTAAAAATTGAGTTCAAAAATTTGACGTCATCAATTTTTAACAGTTTTTTCGCTATAACTTGGCCAAAAAAAGAGGTATCGATCTGAAATTTGGTATGTATATCAAAGAGCGCAGGGACTATCACATATGTTCCGGTTTTTTCGAAATTCGAAAATGTTTTGGAAATTTTTTGAGTTTTTCTAAAAAATCAGTTTTTTTATTTTTGGGGGTCAAAATCCCAAAATTTCGAAAATCAGAGATAGCAGTTTTGTAGCGCCGTCTTTTCTCTACACAACCACATAAAGAACTTTAAAATTGCTTGTTAACTGTAGAATTGGTGAGCGTTTCAAGATGTCATGTTTTTTGCTCATTTTTGCTCAAACATGACCTCAGTTTGACCTCAATAACTCCTGACCTGAGGTGACCTGTGACTTGAAATTTTGTGTGAAGGTGTCAAATTGATGCCCGGTAAGGTACCCAAAATTTGGCGGCGCTGCGCGCCGCCGTTTTCTCGCTATTTAAGAAAAACCACAGGGGGGGCCAAAATGGCCCCCCCCATCAGGGCGCGGGTTAAACTTCGTTTCATTTCTGAAGACGTTCATGTATAGGAGATATTGACAAAACTTAAAGCATGTGTATTTTGTTCACTTTGCCTCAACCCCGGGGCAAAGCGGACACTGGTAACCACTTACCTCGATATGAGGAACAGGATACTTGTCTCATGTACAACTAGAGTTTTTGATGGTAAAGAGGTTTAAACGAGGATAGATTCTCATTTTGTCATCTTCCCACCGATAAGCAATGCAAGGACAATCATGGAAAAACATTGAATTGCATTTTCGGGTAACCAAAAAGTGCCCGAAATGAACGGATGACGATACATTTTAACATCAAATAATGTTTGTTGTCCAGGGGGAAAGAGCTTATGGTGGATGCTGTCCTGAGTGTCCACTTTGCCCCGTCCACTTTTCTCCGTGCATACCGTTCGAGAACTATATATGGCCTTGGTTCGAGACAGAGATCTTCCAGTTCAATTATTAGTGGGGTCAAACGCACTAAAATTGGCAGGAGACATGTACGACAAGTAACAACAACGCAATGCATGAAAGAGGACGCGTAAATATATTTTGAAACCGTTAGGTATCGAATTCAACAGCAAAATATAAAAGCGTGAGAATAGTTACCAACCTAAGAAGATATGCCTTTCCGTGTGTCAAGGTCAAGGAAAAATGGCAACGGTCCGGGATAATAATAAAACGCAGGTTATCTCTGAAATCTCCGAAGTTTCACTTGCTCTATTTTAGCTGTTTTTATGTACCTTCCTACCTTCTTTGTGGTAAATATGTTGAAAGCACCCGACGGCCGACGGGGGATTACCCGTCTGAGACATCCACTTCATATCCGCTCTGTCACACCGACTGGAGCCCGGTTTTCTCGCGTGTGGGATTGACGGATCAGTGGGCTGCCTTTACTGAGCTACTCTTACCTATCCTGGACTTTCATGCTCCCTTACGGTGTCTCAAATTTCGCAACCCCTCTGCACCCCCTGCCTCGGACACCACCCTGCGACTCATGGCACGGCGCCGTGGACTTCTTGCCCGAGAGGGCCGGACTCCTGCCTTCCTCACCCTGGACAAACAAGTAAAATCTGCTATACGTCGTGACGTTAAAAACGACATTGCTAGCCGGGTGAGGAGGCAGGGTCCGGCCTCCACCTTCCGCAACCTTCGGCAGGTGATCGAGGGCAAGAGGTCCACTCAGCGAGTCGTGCCTGAGGCCACCCCCAACGAGCTGAACGATTACTTTGTGGGGGTCGGCCCTCGGGTCGCGGCTGAGGTCCGAGACAGGGGGGAGCCCCTTCCTCTTCCTTGCAGACTACCTAGAGTAGGCGCCTGTGCACTCACCTTACAACCTATTTCCCTTCACTCTCTCCGATGTGTCCTTTTTTCCATGAAAAATTCCTCTTCTTCCGGCTCCGACGGTGTCAGCATCCGGATCCTACGCCTCTGTTTCGACTCCATCGGTCACGTCTTTCTCTACTTTGTCAACACCTGTCTCACAACCTGTGAATTTCCCGCGTCCTGGAAGCACTCTATCGTCCACCCCATCCACAAAGCGGGCAATCCTACTGATCCATCCAACTATCGACCTATCTCAATTGTTCCTGCCTTTGCCAAACTTGTAGAAAAAGTTGCTCAGCAGCAGCTGTACACCTACATGTCTGGCAACCATCTATTTTCCTCATCCCAGCACGGTTTCCGCTCTTGTCTCTCCACAGAAACCGCGCTCGCCACCGTATCCGATCACATCCTCTCTGCCACCGACCGTCAGGAACTCACTCTCCTATGTCTCCTCGATCTCTCCAAATGCTTTGACGTCATCGACCACTCAAAGCTACTATCCAAACTTCAAACCTATTCTATCGATCCGACCTGGTTTTCCTCTTACCTCCGTGGCCATTCCCAATCAGTTTGCACAACTGACGGGCGAGGAAACCGAGTCCTCTCCGATCCTCTACCCAATCCTATCGGCGTGTTCCAAGGATCCTCGCTGGGCCCGCTCCTGTTCCAAATATTTGCCAATGACCTCCCTCTTTTCGCTCCCGGGGCGCACGTGGTGCAGTACGCTGATGATACCCAAATTCTACTTTCTGGCAAAAAAGATTCCCTCCCTCATCTCATCGCCACTTTAGAACAAATTTTGGACTCTTTTGATGCCTGGTTTCATACCAACGGCTTAAAAGTTAACACAGCTAAAACTGAGCTCATAGTTTTTGGCTCGCGCCAAAATTGCCGCAGCCTGGATCCCATCTCAATTCGGTTCCGTGAGGACACGATCCGTGAGGGCCCCACGGTGAGGAACCTTGGCGTGGTTTTCGACAAGCACCTCACCTGGGACGCTCACGTATCGGCCCTCGTCCAAAAATGCAACGGTATCCTCATTGGGCTGTCCCACGTGCGTCACCACATCCCTTGTGAACTTCTGCCTACTGTGGTCAGCGCCTTGGTCCTCTCGCACGTCCGATATTGTCTCTCGGTCTATGGAAACGGGTCGGACAAAAACACACAACGCCTCCAAAAAGTTCTCAATTTTGCGCTGCGCGTTGTGTCCGGCCGAAGAAAATTTGACCACATATCGGACGTGCGAGAGGAACTGGGCTGGCCTACCGCCCGTCAGTTGTACGAAATCCACTCTCTTAACTTCCTCCACAAAATACGCTGCACCGAAGAGCCGGATACTATGTTCTCCCAAATCCTGGCCAACTCTTCCCTTCGCTCACGCTCAACCCGGCGGGACACTGATCTGTCTCTCCCACGCGTGAGAACCGAAGCAGGGAGGCGGCGCCTGCTCTACAGCATAGCCCAGTTGTACAACCGTCTGCCCCATGACATTAGACATCTCCCTCTGGGAGCTTTTAAACGCTCTGTTTCCGAGTTGTATCTGCGTGTTTAAGGATGAATGTGTGATTTGAATTGTGTTCTGTTTGATGTGATTGATGAGTGTATCTTAACTTGTTTTTCCTTTTAACCGTGACGCGACACTCGGAATAGCCACTTTACTGTGGAGAGTGTTTTAACTGTCAAATACAAATACAAATACATATTTATCTGACCATGACCACCTCCTGGCACCTCATGTTTGCGCAGCTCTGTTGGCCAACCGCGCTGTCTCCCCCTCCGAAAAATCCGAGCGATTACCCTGCCCGCCGTGTTCCTGCAGAGAGTACAAGAAGGGCAGTGCCGCCGTGGCGTTCCACCCGGAACGGTTGCACACCCTGCACCACAAACTGCGGTTAGCTATAACAAGGTGGTGACTCCCCTCGACTTCACCGGGGGGGGGGGGGGGGTCAGGAAAATCCGCGGCCACATGGACATACGTCATGTCTCTCGTCCGTCCGTCTGCCTGGCTGTCTGTCTGCCTGCGCTCAGCCTTGTTTTCCGTCGGTCTGAGCAGCTGCCAGCTGTGGGGCAGGCCGCTGGAGTTCAGATACCCACACCTGCCAAAGGTGCCCCGGGCGGTCATTAATGCGGCCAGCAGCTCGTGACACGCGCCCGGGAGGCGGGAAATCCCGCCACTAAACGTGCTCACATGGGGTCGTTGTGCTGACATAACGTCATCCTATAATACGTGACTCAGGGGAAAACAATGATGAGGCCTGCAGTGCAGTATCTGACGGAAAAGAGTATAGCTGATGGAAAGGATTTACTGTGTGTTGAGTGTGTGGTATGACATATTTGTAGCGAACACGTCAGGTGATAGGGTACCTATATTTGCTATTCGGAGTATGGTGAAGCCGCTTACGTTAGTTGCTGGCGTCATTCAGATGAGTAATACCAGTGGGGGGCAGTCGGGAAGAATACCTGTGATACATGCACCATCGTCTCACCCTGGGCTGTTGGTAACTGATTCGCTCATTTCTTTAGCATCCAAGGGAGCCGGCATAATATTTCTGTTGATCTTTGGTCCGAGGTTTCGGACGGCACCCATTATGCAAGTTGGTGAGTGGTTGATTAAGATTGTTGAGATAGTTGTTACCGTGATAAGTTCCTTAGGTTTTGAAGGGCTCTTTATTTCGAAGCATCGTAATTCTCTAATCAAATTATAAACTTGATTATAAACTTGATCTATTTGCCTGTATGGTGCAAAGGTAAGACATTGATATGTAACAGTAAGACGCCTTCTGGGGCGACAAACGAGCGAGCGACAAAGTGAGCCCTGCATGTGCGGAACTGCGTAGGGTGCTGACCCGCTGTGTTGCTGACCGTCTGTGCCGCAGCCCACCGATAACCCATGTCTCCGTACCGGCAGGCGCCATGTTCCGCCTGCTGATCAACTCTCGGGACGAGCTGGCTCTGGCGGCCGTCTGCCAGGCTCCGGGGCTCGAGCTGGCCGCGCCCGACTTCCTGGCCATCCGACGCACGGCGCGGCACAGGGCGCTGCCCATGTATCAGGTACAGATGCCTCCACGGGCGTAGGGACGTCATGAAGTGGGTGGGCCAGCCTGTCAAGGGGCCTCCTTTTCCGGGGGGCGTATTGCAAGGTAAAAGTTAGAGACCTCTGGAAAAGGTTAGAGACCCCTGAAAATAGGTGGCCCCCTGGAAAAGGAGGCCCCTTGACTGGGTGGCCCACCCACTTCATGACGTTCCTATGCCCGTGGATACCTCTCCAGTCCATGTATCATCGTCCTGTCCTTTTATCAGTAGAGCTCAACCAATGTATCAGATATCAACGTTCTGTCCATGTATCAGGCATCACAGCATCGGATATCAGCGACTTTCTAGGTATCACGTATCATAGTATCAAAGATCAGCGACTTCCCAGTTCCCGTGTATCAGGTATCATAGTATCAGATATTAGCGACTCCATGTAACAGGGGTCATAGTATCGGATTTCAGCGACTGTCTGTGCATCAGGTATCGCAGAGCTCGTCTATGCATAAGGTATCAGAGCCCTGCCCATGTACCAGGTATCAAATTCATCTATCTATAGGGTGGGACATGGGACGGCAGTGAGAGTGATGGATGTCGTTGTCAGGGGGAGGTGCTCACTGCGCCCGGAGAGGTATTATTCCTCTAACGTCTCGCCCCCCCCCCCCCCTCCCCGTCAGACGGTGGTGTCTCACGTGCGTCGTGTGGAGCTGGGCGGCGCCAACTACCAGCCGCCGGCCGACTGTCCTCTGCACGGCTGCACACCGCCTCTGAAGGCGCTCGTGCGGCTCGTACACAAACTGCACGACCTGCTGGAGGAGGAGGCCGACCCGAGGTCAGGGCGGTCAGAGGGGAGGCGGGTCGGCGGGCGGACCGATAGACACATTGGCCGATCCCTGGATGAGGCGGGGACGCCTGGTTAAGCTCGTGTTTTGCGCTCTTTGCGCCTTATGCTGTTGAGCCTTATAAAGAAGACATCCGCTTGCTTGGAGCCCATTTTTAAAGGGATGTGCATTATCGATTCCGATTCCATTTTCATGCAGCTGGGCCTCCAGCTACTGTTTTTCCTCTTCTGATTTTGAGCTGCTGTATTTTCTGCTGTCACTCTGCTGGTACTGTTTACCGCCCCCACCACTGACCCTGAACTCCTCCCCCCCCCGTCTCTCCGCCCACCGGCAGTAAGTGCTGCCAGCGTCTGCTCTCCGCCATGAAGGGTTGCGTGTCCCGCGGCGCGCGCCTCAGACAGTCTGCCGTGGACCGGGCGGCCGCTGAACTGAAGGAGCTGGTCGGACGGCTGGCCGCGGACGGCAGCGGCGACACGGACACCGCCGTGGTCGGAGGACCGGCCGTGCAGGTGTGTAGGAGCACGGACAGAGTGCTGGGCGGGTGGGCGGCGACTACGGACAGACCGAATTAGGTAGTACGTATAGAATGTTCTTCCATGCATTATATCGGATATCCTGCATGCGTTATTTGTAAGATCTATGGGCTATTCTACACAACCATGGACAATAATGTGTCTGAAGCATCATTTGCCAATTGGATTTTAAGCCCAGTTTCCAACAGGCGATCGGCAGCGATCACTCACCAATTGTGCTATCTGCCCGCCACTCTCAGCGTCTCTAACTCCCCGTGTGACCCTCTCTTCACAGCTGGTGCGCCGGCTGTGTGACCGTCTGTCGTGCGCCGCTCCCCCCGTCACCGACTACCTCAGCGTTCTGGAGGACGGTGTCACCAGTCCGGGTACCCCCGGACGGCGGCCCGCCGCACTGCCCTCAGTCGTGTCCCTCTTCAGGTCAGTGCTGCCCGTTTGGAGGCATGCTTAATGGGGTCAACAGCCATATATGTTTTTATTATAATGAGCTGATATTTTCCGGAGTGTCAATCTAACGATACAGCAATTAAGAGCAATGGATCGTAGCCATTGTGTAATTTTAACGTCCTTCCTCTGGACGCTGAACTGCTCGTTTGTTTTCGTTATTGTATTCATTCATTCATTCATTCATTCATTCATTCATTCATTCATTCATTCATTCATTCATTCATTCATTTGGTTAGGTATTATTTCAATGAAAGAATGAATGAATTCAGTAATCAACTACTTCATTCATGAATTAGTCCATGAATTACTTTATTTTTCATTCATTCATTCATCTCTCTGTGTCAGGACTCCGCCGGAGGTGGACGGGGATGAGAGTAATGACGGCGTCGGCCTCTCGCTCGAGGAGCGACTCAGAAGGAAGGGCATCTCGCGCACCGGCGAGACGCCCACCTCCACCAAACGGTAGGTTGGAGAGTTAAAAACGCCAAACGGTAGGTTGAGACGCCAAACGATAAGGGCCATGTTCCATGGACCGTAGTTAATGGATTTAAGATAGCTTGCACATGAGCACCGCATCTCATACGCGAACTATATCAGTAATCAGAGTCTCAGACATCGCCGAATATTGTCGATCGCATTGCTTCTCATTTGAATCGGCATCAGGTCTGTCCCTGGTACTGACTTTGTAATAAATCTCTGTTCCACTAGTGAATGTGTCTTAAACTGGGCCTCCTGGTCCGCCGAATTGCTGATTCGCCTCTGACCTTGTTCCCCGCCCTGCCGCAGGTTCGGCGCCTCGCTGGGCTGGCTGGCGGCGGAGGACCGGCCGGCCGGAGGCGGCGGCTCGCCCCTGGAGCCCACCCCGCCCCTGGTGGCCGGGCCCACCCTGGTCTGCTCTCGGTCGGGCACCAAGTACGCCGAGGGAGAGGGGGTGCGCGCGCTCCGGGAGCTGCAGGCCGCCGACCGGGCCAGGCAGAAGGTAACGCTGAGAGCGGGCAGAAGGGAAGGGACGGGGGTTATTCGGGAGGGCGGAGAGGGGACGGGGTACCGCAGAGGAGAATGACGGGGGAACTAAAGTTGATTGGTGTGATTTGTGCAGTATGAAAGACAGGTCTCTGATCTGTCCGGGTAGCACTTTATGATGTGGATTGGGTGGTTCTTTTGTTAGTGCATCATACAATGTAACTTGGCTTTCATTAATTTTAACAATTGCAGATTGCGTTGATGAAATTATTTGTTCGGATGCCATGGGTTGTAGTGCACAGCCATGTTTTCACCGGGGAAAAATAGGTGATGATATTTGATGAAACGTGGAAATCTGGGAAGTTAATTTTTTGCATGTCAAGGGTTCCATAGAAAAGTTTTCCTTGTTCACGATTTCGAAACAGGCGCAAGGAAAACGTATCATTTTTGAATTTCCTGAAACTCTCGACTTTTCAGGAAAGTGAGATTATGTCTCCGAAGACCTCTAGGGCTCCGAAGAAGCCCAAGCGCTCCCTCTTTGACTCGGCACAAAACGCTAAGACCAGCGGGCCGAAAACCAAGGCGAGCGACGCGTCTAAGACAAAGAGCGACGCAACCAAAGCAACTGCGAGGAAGAGGAAGACTGAAGCAGCCCAGGACCAAGAAAATGCGCCTTCCAAATCAGCGTCTGATCAGCCACTAGCAGCCAAAACGCTGATCCTTGAAGATGACAGTAAAAACACCAAGCCAGCGGCAAAGAAGCGGAAAACTGAGGCCGCGCTGGATCAGGAGAATGTCTCCGTTTCGTCTGACGTCACCAAACCAAAGTCTCAGCACCCGGCCCCGGGACGCAAGGCGTCAGCTATAGCAGAGAAGAAGGCTAAGGGGAAGCAGATCAAACAGGTTCAGGGCCAGAAGAGCATTAGGGATTTCTTCAGGATATGATGCGATGTTTGCTCAGCGTTGGACGCGGAACATAGGACCAAAGTAATTTGTGCGGTAGTGCTTAGTTAGAAAGTGACTTGTTAGGTAAGCTTTATGTTGCTTGTAGCCTGTAGGACATGTCGTGTGTCGATTTGAGCGATAATTGCTCGGGTTCGTAATCGTATCAGCGGCCGATCCCGGACCATACAATCCGACTCGTGGGCTATGCACAAAATCTGACCAACGATGTTTACTGATTGCCCTGCGTTTTATGAATGAATTGGACTTGGTGCAGGACGTGAGTACGTCAGGGTGCATTATTGACTTTGATTGCGTGATTGATCGATGTCGATAAGTTAATTTGAGCGTGAACTTCATTGAACCAACGATTGCTGTTTTGAACTTTGATGACAGCATTCATGAAATGGTGGACTGGCATACTTGTTCAACGAATTTTAGTATAGGTTGCGGTGTTCCTAGGATATGGAGGTTATGGAACCTGCCGTGGTTGCGATTCGTCTGGCTTTTGCCAAGACTGTGGTTGCAGCTGCATTTTCAGGTTGCATTTCAAGGTTAGCTGGCGACTGGAGCCTGACATTTAGCTAGCTTTTGTGTAATTTAATCATTGATGTAAAACATTACTGCAGACATTTATACGGCATCACCATCATCCCGCCTCGTTTTGGTAATAAACTGCACCGATATTAAGTATCTTTTCAGTGTGCAGCGTGATGCCCACAACGGGAGGGCACGTGCTGGCTTAGGTTCAGCACTCCTTACCTTACCTTACCTTAAAGGAAATAGTTCACTTTTTAACATGGGTTTTGAACTGGAATAGCAGTTCCGTAGCTTGGGCTGAGACGAGCATAAATCAGGAGCTTTTACAGCCCAACGATCACCCTAGGCAAAGATATTCTATTTCTCGTCCCGAAAAAGGTGTCTTGCGTTGAGGATGTGTGCCTTGCATATATTTCCATCCAGTATGAAAAGAGCATGGGTCCCGAAAATTCTTCAGAAACTAGAGAAATTATCTACGAGAACTCTAGAGAAATTCTCGTACTGATCAATTAGGACATTCAGGGGAACATTATCAGATCGAGCAGATCGCCCAAATGCCGATGGCTGCGATAATTTCTCTGTTTCTGAAGAATTTTCGGGACCCATGCTCTTTTCATACTGGATCGCGTGTGCCTTACAGAAACTGAAAAGTTCTTCCTATATCAAAATATAGAAAAAAATATTTTGTTATAAAAAGGATTTATTTTCTTTGCTGATTATTTTGAACATAAAAAATCATAAATCCGTTGCAAAAAAATAATTTCGTGAAAGTGAACTATTTCCTTTAATATGATCGGAATTTTGAGGCCACTTGGCCTGTAGGGAACCGCTCTCAAACAACCGCACTCATTCGCTGAAAGTGATCGTTAAAAACCTACGGATTTTATCAAAGATCAGCATTCAATATCCCGTGCACCTTGAGGCAGTCTGTATGTACCGCCAGCCGTTCGCTCGGTCGTGCTACGTGCTGCTGACAGCGCCCTCCGCAGGTGGTGTCGAGCGCTGGAACCTTAGCTTCAGCGTTTGGCGCTAGGTGGCTTCTTAGATCCGCCGCTCCGCGATAGAGAAGCTCGTTGGAGAAGCGCGAATGTTTATTTCGCTCACTAGGCGGCGCTAGCAGGCCTTTAGTGGGCTGCGGCCAGCCAGTCGGCCACTGCGGGCCTCTGGGCTCCGCTCTGGGACATGGATGGGTATTGGGTATATGTGTGCGCCTAGCTGAGAGGAGAGAGGACGGGGGAGATTTGATGCACTAGTATATGGCATGTCAAACCAACAACCATTGATGTCCGGTTCATCCCGTTCTTCCCGGTTTGTCGGGTTCTTCGGATTCCTTATGGTGAGCTGAGGTCTTGGGCTCGGCTCTCTCCAGTTTCCGAGGTATGGAAGTTGACAGTTAAAGGGACCCTCCCACCTTCAAAAAAGTTAATGAATTGGCATGAAAGTGATGTCGCTCGGTTCAGAAAGAGCGAAAACGAATATCTACCAAATTTCACCGAAAAATATTCACCGGTTTTCAAGATATTAGACTTTTACATTTGTTTACTTTGTTGGGATCTCCGCTGTTTCTAGCGACTTTATTTTAGAAGTGCGGCGTTTGCGGCAGATGTTGCGCGCAAATAGCATATACCACCGCGTGCTACAAAACGTTTTAGTCAAACATTTAAAAATCGTTAGATATCTGCGCTGACGTCACACATTCAGAGGGGTATTCCTAAGCATTAGCCCCTCTGAATCAAAATGCTGCAATTTTGAAATTCAATATTTCCGATTTAAGGCATTTCTCGATGTTGTGAGTGCCGAAACCGGTAATTGTGAGCCAGGGACCCCATTTTGGCTATCTCAACTCAAATCTAATGTTAAGGTGGGAGGGTCCCTTTAAATGAGGATGGTCCCCGGTTGGTGGGAGCAACCGCAGCGCAGCCAGCCAATGAGTAGGACACATTCACTGCAACGGTCATGAGCAGACAAATGCCGGGTCTTGTGAGTATGCTGAACCTATAGCCTTCTAGAATCTAGCTGGCCTGATCTAGATTCTCCCGTCAGCTCGGAAACCCCTAATCGAATGGTGTTCGGTGGAGGTCTGCCTCGTCCTCCGCAACAAGCTGCTTGGAGGGCAGGCTCTGCCTTCGACAAGCCTTCCATCCGAAAGGTTTGAGTGCTATTGAAAATATCGGTGAATCCATGAACTTGGATTTATCCGCCTTGCTTTGTCTCCTTTTACATTTCGATGGCAATCACCTATCCTAACTTAGCCGGTCCGTCTATTTTCTACCACGGACCCCGGCCAACGGGGAAAGTATTGCCTCCATTGCTGTTTTGGCTATCTAAGCAAGAAATTCGCAAAAAAAACTAGTATACATATATGCCGCTACGGGGTGAAGCGACTAGTGCACGGTTTTACTGTTTCGGCTCAGTCGATGACTTCCCAGGTCAGGTCTGCGAGTGACGACCCATAGATCGGATCCTGCGTTTGACTAATTACTCCGCAAAACGATCGCAGAACGTATATTTTGGCACCATTAAACTTCTCACGCCTATCCGTGACGAACGGAACAATAAATGGCATATTATTTATTATTTACTTGATTCGATAAAAGTAAACGTGGGTGTTGACTGCTGACCTCAGGTCAAGGTCAAATCGAAGCCGGCCAGGTCAGGATATTGGCCGAGGGAAAACATGCGCATCATTCGTTTTGTCAGCTCATTCTGATGTCATCGATGCCTTTCTGTCATTCCCGATGCGGATTTAACTATTGTTCATCGTTATCGTTATCTTTATTAACGTTATTAACTAGCATTTATTTTTGTTTGTCATTGAAAACTACGGCGTATGGCATTAGCGCCAGGAAACGTGGCATATCTTGCTCAATTTTACTACCTCCCAATCCCGTGTAAAATTGGTTACCCCACTCCTAGGTCGCCTAAGATAGGTAAGTCACCTTGTCAAACCAAGAAATCGTTACCGAAAGCGACCGCATTTTAAAAGCTCTGCTTTGCTCAGCTTATATATCCTTCAGCTGACCAACCAGTTGAAGCGTATTGGCCTGCTATAATTCGCTCTTGCCGCCGCCGTCCTTTGTGGTGATCTGGTTCTGGTGGCCGGTGGTCGCTCCGCCGTCTTTGTCTGGTGATCGGGTTGTGGCAGCGCTCCTCTGCTCTATTCACACCTCTGCGGCCACAGCGCTGGTGCAGCTGCCGGCTATAGCAGTGTCCGGCACCCGTCCGCAGATCGCCGCTCTCCGGTCAGTGGACGAGACAGATCGGGCGCTTTGTGGAGCACCCTCCGACCGGTGCTCGGCGCCCTCTCTTGTCCATCTGCCCCCCTTTCTGCCCCCTCATCAGGTCACGTGCTCGACAAACACCCAACTGGGGCGGTCTGCACTCGTGGGGGACGGCGGGCCCTGGCCGGTCAGCTGCCGCTGTTTATTCTGCGTCCATCCGCGTCTGTTTTGGGGCGCGCGCTGACCAGGGGCCGGCGCCGGGTCAGACAAAGGTCACACAATGGACCTCTGGGCCGCTGGACCGTCCACCTGGCCGGCCAGTGTCCCCGGGTCAGGGAGATCCGCCCGGACCGCGGTCGGCCCGCGCTCTCTGCGTGTGCGTGCCGCGGGAGGGGGTGACCCAGTTGTCGGTTTTGCGGGTCAGCTGGTCGGCCAGCGTGAAAGGGCTGGCCGCTGGGGAGCGCCGTGCGGCCGCGCTGAAAAGGCGCGCTGACCGGTGCGGTGTTGCCGTTCTGGCTGGCCGGTTGTGATGACCGCAGTCGGCACACATCTGCCCGACATACCCTGCGGGCGGAGCGCTGAATGCCACCCGTTCCATGGGCGCCGGGGAGGGGCTACATCGCGGGGTCGACACGGCACGTCAAACAGAATACAAATTAGCAGTCTGTTCTACATATACAGTCTCGGGCTAGACATTGTTAGACATTTGTTTCCTGCAAAGTGAAAAATATTTTCTGTTTGTCCGGTTGCACATTCCGCGCTTATTCATTAGAATCGGCCTTTGTGCCTGTTTTCACGTTCTTGTGTTCTTGGCCATTTTATGGTGCATTTTTGTGCCTAACTTCTTAGTCCTGTCAATAAAGAAACGATGCCTTCACATTTTAAACGGAGGCAGTGATCCATGGCCGTGCTTTTCATTGATGAGCAATCCAAGGCTGTTGCACCGTCAAGAAAAGCCACATGTGATTCTAACTGCTGAAGCAGGCTAGGTATGGCAACAAGTTATTGACATGGCCGGAAAACCATTCGACGAATGAACTTCAACTTGCAAACAAGGTCCGTTCGGCTGGCGCTCATTCAGAAGAGCCTGCCATTACCAAAGAGCCGTGCGCGGGCGTCACCGCAAACGTTCACTGCTTTGATACCGCACGTGGACGACCCGACAATAAGGCGGTAAGCAGCAGCAGGCTCGCCAATCGCATTCCGTTTGAATTCGGGAGCGTTCCGCCCACATATCTGAGCGGATCGGTGGGTGGGTGTCCGTCGGCCTCAAGTATTTCGGCGTGTAAACAGCCGTTTGGAACAATGCGGCAGGTGCGAGAGCGCCGGCCCGCGCCGGTGACGGACAGTTGGCCGGCCGGTCGGCGGGGGCGGGCTATAATAGCGGGGGCGGGCACGGCCCGGCAGCCGGGAGGGCCGCGGAGGGGCCGCAAGACGGCCACAGCCTCGGAGCGAATCGGAGACGCTGGGGTGGGGCTGATTTGGGCGTCACTTAGGAATGATGCTGCGCGGAATAGAAACGAATCAATTCGCTGCCATAACAGTCCCTCAACTTAAAATCTACTGCGCTTTTTTACTTTTATCTCCTTGCTACTCACCTATAAAAATCTACCTAAATCCTAATGCTGTGTAAAAAGAGCTTACTAAAATGTTCTGACACCGTAAAGATTGTGTTACTCTTGTTTATTTTTGCAATTGCCGTTTTAAAACATTATTTTTGCTCTTCAATAAACTATGTTTCAATTACGTTATTTTAGTATAGCAACTTTCTACCAGCCTGCAACTGAAGAAGTGAGTGGACACACGATCAGCATGTAACACGATCCCCGTTAAACATCTCTCCGTTATCTTTTGGCACATTTGTCGGGTTGTTTTCGCCGCTCTATGGACGGCGGCCGGCGTCTGTTTGAAGAGTCTGCTGACCACAGC